TCACAAAAGAAAAACACTTTTGAAAAAATAACCAGTCACAATAGAGTAAGAAAAATGTGTAACTTCAAGTCATAAACCACCAATTGTAAGTGGCGCTGTGGCCCAAGTGGTAGAGTGCTAGTCTTGAGCTGAAGAGCTGAGGGACAGCGCCCAGGCCCAGAGTTCAGGCCCCACAACTGAACCAAAAAACAAACAAACAAACAAATTTCCAATTGTGGTTATTGAAGAAAGAAGAAAAGGACTCCAAAAGAGTAAGACACTGCTCCTAAGCTCACTGATACCTCCCACCCACAAAGACTATAGTAAAAGAAGGGGCTTAAATAGTACTCCCCAACTAGGAGAAAAATAAACTTGTTCAATCACTTTGGAAAGCAGTTTGGAGGTTCCTCAAAGGACTCCACATAGAGTTCCCCTATGACCCAGCAATCCCACTTTTGGGCATTTACCCAAATGTTCACAAACAAGACCATACTAAAGCTACACAACTATGTTTATTACAGCATTATTTACCGCAGCTAAGATATGGAACTAACCCAGATGCCCCTCAGTAGATGAACGGATCAAGAAAATGTGGTATATATACACACTGGAGTTCTATGCCTCCATCAGAAAGAATGACATCATCCCATTTGTTAGGAAATGGAAAGACTTGGAAAAAAATTACATTAAGTGAAGTAAGCCAGGACCAAAGAAACATACGTCCCATGGTTTCCCTTATTTGCAATAACTAGTATATGTCTGGGACAAGCAGAAAAGGTCAGATAAGATGCTGTTAAGCAAAATGAACCCCAAGATAGGGACACAAGTGTTTTTTTTTTTTCTTCCTTGCTATTGTTTCTAATGTATTTATAAGGTGCCATGTGATTTTTTTTTTGTTGCTTTGTATGTCTCTCCCCCATGGTATAACCCCTGTTTTCATTGTATTTGATGTTGGTATAATTTGGGGAGGGGAAGGAAAAAAAAAACAAATTGTTTAAATAGGGATACAGCTGACCCATTGCAGCAAAGAGATGTACATCCCAAAGGATCCAAGAATCCAGTATAGCCAGACACCAGTGGCCCACACCTGTAATCTAGCTACTCTGGAGGCAGAGATCTAAGGATTGTGGTTTGAAGCCAACCCATGCAGACAAACCTGAGAGACTCTTACCTCTATAATGCCAGAAGAGGGATATGACTCAAGTAGTAGAGTACCAGTATACAAGGGGGAAAAAAATCTATGTAGATCAAGCAAAAGTTAATATAAACAATTGGAGGTATAGCTCAATTGGTAGAGTGCTAGTCAATGAGCAAAAGCATCAGGTACCAAGTTCGATTCCAGATCATGGAAGGAAGAAGAAAAGAAGGAAGGAAGGAAGGAAGGAAGGAAGGAAGGAAGGAAGGAAGGAAGGAAGGAAGGAAGGAAGGAAGGAAGGAAGGAAGGAAGGAAGGAAGGAAGGAAGGAAGGAGAAAGAAAGAAAGAGAAAAACATTTCTAATACACACTGTGTCATGAAAAGCTGTAATAAGAACACAAAATACGAAGTAGAGCTGTAGGTCAAAGTGGTAGAGCACTAGCCTTGAGCAAGAGCTCAGAGATAGCACCCAAGCCCTGAGTTCAAGCCTCAGGACTGACAAAAATAAATTTAAAAAATACTATTTACCTGGGTGTTACTGGTTCACACTTGTAATCCTAGCTACACCAGAGGCTGTGATCTGAAGACTGTGTCTCAAACCCCGCCCAGGCATGACAGTTCTCTGAGACTCTTATCTCTAATTAATCACCGGAAAACTACAAGTGGTGCTGTAGCTCAAACTGGCAGAGTGCTTGCCGTGAGCAAAAGAGCTTAGGGATATTACTTGGGCCTTGAGTTCAAGCCTCATGATCAACTAAATAAATAAATAAAACAAGAAAGCTCAAAGATAAGAGGAAAAAGCAATAGAACTTCCAGAGCATTGTTAAGTAATAGCAATGAAAACCAGTATTGTGTTTTATACCAATTTTGATGGGTATGTACTTTGAAATAGCGTTTTACTACTTATTATAACGTTGGAAATTATTTACAATTCATTATTCTTTTTTTTTTTTTTGTCAGTCATGGGGCTTGAACTCTGGGCTTGGGTGCTGTCCCTCAGCTCTTCAGCTCAAGGTGAGCGCTCTACCATTTGAGCTACAGCGCCACTTCCAGTTTTCTGGTGGTTTATTGGAGATAGGAGTTTCACAGTTTTTCCTGCCCAGGCTGGCTTTGAACCATGATCCTTAGATCTCAGCCTCCTGAGTAGCTAGGTTACAGGCATGAGCCACCAGCGCCCAGTCATTATTCTTGATCATATTAAGAAAATTATGTGCAACTTTTAATTCTCAAAACATTAGCAATAAAGAAGAGTGAAACACTGACTCCATGTATTTCCAATGGTATAAACAACTTTTTCAAGATCCTCCTTCTTTTTTTTTTGGTCGGTCATGGGGCCTGAACACTGGGCCTGGGCGCTGTCTCTCAGCATTTCAACTCAAGGCTAGTGCTCTACCACTTGAGCCATAGCACCACTTCTGGCTTTTTCTGCTTATGTGGTGCTAAGGAATCGAACCCAGGGCCTCATGCATACAAGGCAAGCACTCTACCACTGAGCCACCTTCCCAGCCTTCTTCCTTTTCTTTGTCCTCACATTACACTACAAAGAACCTCAGTGCAGTCCCCAGAAACTTGTCCACATGGACAACTTGTGAGACATGCCATCATATCTCCTTTTAATAACCAGACTCTGTGTCATATGACAAAGTCAATGACTCATTTTACAAAGCCCAGTTTTTCCACTCTGGTATTTATAGGATTGCAAACATCAGAGCTAGAGGTCATGTAAACAATCTACCCCCACCCCAATGTCTTGAAACTAGTCAGAAAAAAAAAGGCCAGAGGGACTGCCAGAGGGAATGGGCTCATGGCAGCTATGAGTATTAATCCTCATTCTATCATTTCCCAGCTGTGGCTCTGAATCAGTTAATTTTCTTTTCCTGACTTCCATTCCTTATTTAACAACTGGATCCATGATATTTAACTTACAAGGTATTGTAAAAAACTAAACAATGAATTTCAAGCTCATGCCTCAAAATGGTTATTTATATTTTTATTATTTTTAAAACTATTATGCACATGGACACATAAGCAAATTCCTAATATATCTTTGCAGAATGAATGATCTGTATGAAAGATTCAGAGGTGAAATAGGAAGTCTCTGCCCACAGGGATTTTTAAAGCAGGAAATAAATGGTTAAGAAATACATATGGGGGCTGGGAAGGTGGCTCAGCGGTAGAGTGCTTGCCTCGCATGCATGAGGCCAAGGGTTCAATTCCTCAGCACCACATAAACAGAAAGAGCCAGAAGTGGCACTGTGGCTCAAATGGTAGAGTGCTAGCCTTGAGCTGAAGAGCTGAGGGACAGCGCTCAGGCCTAGAATTCCAGCCCCACGACTGACAAAAAAAAAGAAAAAGAAATACATATGAAGCTATTACTCTAAATTTGATCCTCTGAGGGCTTAATAACTTTGTTTCTACTGCTCTATTACTAAACATTCTTTCCAAACTAGACCAGCCTGGTCTATAATTCTAGTTATAGAATTATAACTGGATACAGTTATAGAATTATTTCAAACCTTATCTACTTTTGGATGCAAATAAAAGAAACCAATCCAAGCTAGCTGAAGTTAGAAAGTGTAGAAATCCAGGAATTGATGTGTCAGGGGATCTATGTGTAGGAATATAGCTAAGTCTTAAGAAGGAGGTGGACATGGTGCTTCAAGGCTTTAATCCATCCCTTGGGAGGCAGAGGCACAAATACTAAGTTATTAGAAGACAACCTGAGCTATATAGTTTATGGCTAGCCTGAGCCACACAGGGAGTTTGTCTCAATAATAATAATAATAATATCTCAAGAAATATGGGAGCAAAAAGATAGAAAACTTCAGGAGCCCAGCAGTTCTCTCTCTCCCTCTCTCCTTCCCCCCCATACACACACACACACACACATACACACACACACACACACACACATACACACACACACACATACACACACATACACTCACATACACAAACACACATACACACACATACACACACATACACTCACTCACACACATACACAAACACACATACACACACATATACATACACATACACACACATGCATGCACACACACACACACACTTGGGATCCATTCTAATTCAGATCCCTGGAGGAATCTGCCTGCCTCAGTATCTTAATCTGTTTAGAGAGCCACAAGTGGTGCACCTACTTGCAGGTTAGCAACATTAGTCCATCCATTCAGATGGAGCCTTCAGGACCTGATCATCTGTGAATGTTCCACCTCCTAATAGTGTTATAAAGATCAATTTGATGTTAGAAGGGACAAACATTCAAATCACAGCACCCAGATGTTTCAGTTGCTTAGCTCGTGTTCTACCACTTGACCCACACCTCCCGCCCAGCTTTTTGCTAGTTATTTTGGAGATGAGTCTCTCAGACTTTTCTTCCCAGGTTGGCTTCAAACTGAAATCCCCCAGATCCCAGGCCCCTGAGTAGCTAGGATTACAGGCCTGAGCCACTGGCACCCAGTGCTTTTTTTTCTTTTTCTGTTTTATATTGTTGTTTTGTTTATTTGGTTGGTTGGTTGGATTTTTTTTTTGCTTACATAAGTTTAGGTTGTATTTTCTGTACACACTCATAGAGATGTGTGTGTGTGTGTGTGGTGCTACTACTGGGGCTTGAACTCAAGGACTCACATTCTCACTGAGCTTCTTTGCTTGTGACTGATGCTCTACCACTTGAACCAGGCTAGTTCCACTTTTTGCTGGTTAATTTTGCTGGTTAATTTGCCAGCATAATTGGCTTTGAACTATGATTTTCAGATCTCAGCCTCCTGAGTTGGGTTATAGGGGTAGGTCATAAAGTTCCAATTAACACAATGTTCATATCTTTCTAAGCCTCATACTTTTCTCCACAAATTAAAAACCAAGTCATGTGTAGCAAATTCATTTATCTTTAATTTGGCATAGTGTCTTTACCTGTAGAAAATAATGATATTGTCACTTTAAAAGACAAAGCTTTATACATAGAATTAGTAATCAATGAATAGCAATATACATATAAAATAGAATCATCAAAAAATTGAAAGTGGAAGCAAGAAAAAGGCTTTCCATCCATACATTTATAAAAATGCAACTCACTAAATCTCTGAAGAGCTTTCCTCTAGCAGTTATCTCCCAAGAGACAATCCCAAGCATATCACAAAACAACATATTTTTATCCTGTTACTACTATTACAGAAGAGATTCTTAATACCAAGAAAGATGTCTTCTTGAGGACTAGATACAACATACATGATTTTTGTAAAAAGACATTTGATAAATGAATGAATGAATGAATGGTGCTCAGAACCCTCAACCTAGACAGTAAAATCAGTCCCTTAATCTCTGTTGAAAGGCTGTTGACTGCTCTTTGATGGGCTCCTGAGCTCTTTGGCAGCGCAGAAGCTCTGAGTTAGTGCTGATCAGTTGGTATCATAATAAAGGAGGAAGCCTGTGAAGGTGGAGTCATTGACATTATCTGCATAGAGTCCATTATGGTCTCCATCCCCATATACCTGGAGCCATACTTGGTCGCCCACCTCCAGATGCAGGAGCACGGAGCCAGAGGCCTGGTCCACATTCTTGTCCTGGTACTGATCATAGGTGAAGAGCATGGCCTTGTCATTCTTGAAGAGGCTCACCTTCACATCCTTCATGTAGACCGTGATGTGGTAGGAGAAATAATACAGCCCTGGAATGTTGCAGTGGAATTTCCCGGTGGTGCCATCATAGTGGTTTTGCTGATTGTAGAAGATCTTGGTAAAACGAATGGGAACATTGGGGACAGTGACTCGGTTCTCCAGCCCCACACTGAAGGCTGATCGGTAAACATAAGCACCTTCTCCAGGCTCTCCCTTCCTCCCTGGGATTCCTGGAAAGCCCCGGGGACCTTCAGCCCCTGTCACTCCCGTTTCACCAGTCTCTCCCTTAGGACCAACAAGACCTAGAAAGCAAGAAGATCTGAGTGACCTCAAAGAACAGAATTCCTGGTTGTTTCTTGCTGAATTCAAGTCCTTGAGACCAACACCTACACCCTACTAGAGGGAGGAGAGATGTTACCTCCTCCCTACATTGTCCACGGCCCAGCAGCCTCACACAAATTCATCTCCAACCTTATAAAGAGACTTTATAAGGTAATGAGTAAATATTCAAATCTCTCAAAGTAGAAAATAAAATCAAGCCAGGTGCCAGTGGCTCACCCCTGTAATCCTAGCTACTCAGGAGGCTAAGATCTGAGGATCATGGTTCAAAGCCAGCTCAGGTAGAAAAGACTGTGAGACTTGTCTCTAGTTAACTAGCAAAAAGCCAGAAAGGGGGTGGGGAGAGGGTGGGGAAGAAAAGAAAAGAAAGAGAAAAGAAAATCAAATCAATGTCTTAACTATACCAAAACTTTGTTGAATCTTCTCTGATTAACATTAGGGCTGTTTGCTGCTTGTCAGTGATTCTAAACATTTTCTAGCTATTTATGCACTTGTCTGTTCATTGATTCTTCAAGTGCTTTCCACATTCCCCATAGCCCAGCAGGTTCCCTCCATTGTGCAGTCAACTAACCATGGCCTTGCCCTCTACCTTCCTGTCCAGGATGCCCTCCTTCCTCTCCTCTGCCTAGTCAAGGCCTGCTTCCTCCATGAAGCTTCATTGTCAATTGAGTGTGTTTCCTCTATCCTATAGTTTGAACATTCGTTTACACTCAGTTTGGCATATTTGAAGTAAGCATCTTCTGGGAATTATTAACAGAGTCTTAAGCTGTGGAGGACTTCAGAAGGTGTGCTGTCAGGGCGGTGGAAAGCCTCTGGATGGAACAGAAATGAAAGGGAAAGGAAGAAAAATGGAGATCTGGACTCAGAATAGGCATGGGATAGGAAAGAAGATTTAGGTGGCGCAGAGGCAAAGGCACCTCGGTATACAGGAACCACCTAGTCTCTCTCAGGAGCTACTTAGTCTCTCTCTATAAGACCAACTTTAAAACCACTCCACTTCTTTTTTGGTTGTGGGGTTTGAACTCAGGGCTTGGGTACTATCCCTCAGCTAGTCAGCTTAAGGCTAGCATTCTACCACTGGAGCCACAGTGCCATCTCTGGTTTTCTGGTGGCTTATTGGAGATAAGAGTCTCACGGACTTTCCTGTCTGGGCTGGCTTTGAACCGTGATCCTCAGATCTCAGCCTCCTGAGTAGTTAGGATTACAGGCGTGAGCCACTGGTGCCTGCTCCACTCAACGTCTTTTTTTTTTTTTTTTTTTTTGCCAGTCCTGTGGCTTTGAACTCAGGGCCTGGGCACTGTCCTTGAGCTTCTTTTGCTCAAAGCTAGCACTCTACCACTTGAGCCACAGCGCCACTTCCTGCTTTTTCTGTTTATGTGGTGCTGAGGAATCGAACCCAGGGCTTCATGCATGCAAGGCAAGCACTCTACCACTAAGCCACATTCCCAGCCCCTCCACTCCACTTCTTATGGATCAAATAACAAAGCTTTGCTCCTGGCCTATGTCCAGGCCTTAGTTGATAGCCAATATCCTCCCAGATCCCCAGGGCCCCCTCCAATACCAAGGAGAGGTCTGTGGTGAAGAAAGCCAAAATTCTTGTTCTTACCCGCATCTCCTTTCTCACCCTTCTCGCCAGGGCTGCCATCTCTGCCATCTCGGCCTGGGGTTCCATTGTGGCCAGGATGCCCTGGGATGCCAGCCATCCAACCTGCACAGGTTCCCTTGGGTAAGAGAATGGGGACTCCTGGGCCTTCCGTTGGGGTGTTCTCGGCATGACTGGGCAGGATGAGGAACAGTAGAACAGCTCGCAGCAACAGCATCCTGAGCCCTGGAATCACATGCGCAATGTCGGCCATGGGAGGCTCAGAGCCCACGTGTGCATCCAATCAGTACCCACACAGGACTCCATCCATCTCAACATAATCCACTCTGCCTCTTCCAGGAAGCTTTTTCTGGCTACCTGATACCTCTCTTGATATTTTTTTGCTGTGCAATTTGCCTGTTTAGGCTCCTTCTCTGTAGATAGGCTCCTTTGCCTAGCAGAAGCAAGAGCTCAGAGATGGCAGGGATGAGCACAGACGTTGGTTTACCATAAACACATTCTGGGGTATTCTAAGGATGCCGATTCTGTCACTCTGGACAATTCTAACAAACGTCTTTGCTGGAGCCTTTCTTCTTGTCTCCCTCTTTCCCTCCCATTTTCTGCGTCAGTTCCTCCTTAGTTGATTCCCATTCCTTTGATTTCTCTTCTCCTTTATCCTGGTTCTCAGGTTTGACCACAAGGTAGTTCACACAGTTTTCTTGTGTTTGTTATTTATTTGTTTTGGTGGTAGGGGGGTGTTGAACTCTAGGCCTTGCACTTCTAGGCAAACAATCTACCACTTGAGCCTTGCCTCTAGGCAAGTGATTTTTTTAATACTATTTTCTGCTTTTGTTCAAGCCAGCCTTGGACTATAATCCTCCTACCTATGCCTTTCATGTAACTGGGATTAGACACATGCACCATCGAGCCTGCTACTTGCTGAAACAGAATTTCATTAACTTTTTGCTTGGGCTGGCCTTGATCCAGGATCCTTCCCAACTTTACTTCCTGGGATTACAGGCATGAACCCATCTCTACCTTGTTTGTTTTGTGGGATTTTTTTGCTGGGCGGGGGTGGGGTGTCAGTCATGGTTCTTGAACTCAAGGCCTGGGCACTGTCCCTGAGCCTTTTGTGCTCAAGGCTAGCACTCTACCACTTGAACCACAGCACCACTTCCAGCTTTTTCTGAGTATTTTATTGGAGATGAGAGTCTCAAGGACTTTTCTCCCTGGGCTGGCTTCAAACCATGATCCTCAGATCTTAGCCTTATAGATGCTCATGGTAGCTGGAACCCCACTTCTTATTGCTTGGGGCTTGATGTTGCTCTCCTTATGCTAGGCAACCAGTTAATTCATCTTTCATGTATATCATATAGGTGCATATATCGTGTAATATACATATATGTAATAGCTCTATAAGCTCTCTGGAAACTACAGGAAACAACAGTTGATCCTTAGGGGTGGAATCGGCTGAGAACTCACTCTTATGGGCCTCTGTCGCCCTCTGCAGGGCTCAAGAGATTGTTCTCAAAAGCTGTTCTCAAGCTAAAGTAGTTCTTTAATCTAGTCTCCAGATAAGGAGAGGTGAGTTAGCTGAGAACAGAGAGGAGAAACTTTTATTTAAGAGACCATTTGTTCTGAGACTTTTAAACTTTCTTGTGTCTTTAAACTTTGCTGGCATTTGTACACTCTGCCTTTTCTTCTTACAGTTCCAGCAATAAAAAATGTGTAACAGCTTTGGCTCCCTGTGTGCTTTCCTCAGAATGAAGAGGGCAGAAGTCGTGAAGGCAGCATTTTTTCCACAGAGAAGCAGAAGGTAATTCAGGACACAGGCCCCAGAATAGGCAGTTAAGCAAGCCCCAAAGAAAGATGAGGCTGATGAGGGCTCAACCCAAGTGCTTACAAGGTAGGCAGCGGTTCACAGGCTTCGCTGGCACCCTACCCCCTCCACACACACACACAAACCACTACACTTCTGTTAAAAAAAAATCAGGGGCTGGGAAGGTGGCTCAGTGGTAGAGCGCTTGCCTTGCATGCGTGAGGCCCTGGGTTCGATTCCTCAGCACCACATACGCAAAAAGAAAAAAGCTGGAAGTGGCGCTGTGGCTCAAGTGATAGAGTACTAGCCTTGAGCTGAAGAGCTCCTCAGCGCCCAGGCCAAGAGTTCAGGCCCCACAACCGGACCCAAAAACAAAACAAAAATTAAAATAAAATTATTTAAAGGGGGCTGGGAAGGTGGCTCAGTGGTAGAGCGCTTGCCTTGCAGGCATGAGGCCCTGAGTTCAATTCCTCAGCACCACATAAGCAGAAAAAGCTGGAAGTGGCATTGTTGCTCAAATGGTAGAGTACTAGCCTTGAGCTGAAGAGCTGAGGGACAGCACCCAGGCCCAGAGTTCAGACCCCATAACCCACAAAAAATTTAAATAAATAAATAAATAAACAAAGGAATGGCCATGATGTTTTGGAGATCCTGAATGGCCATAGTATGATCTGTCATTTTTATGTTAAAAAAAAAAGTAAGTAACGAGGCTGGGAAAGTGGCTCAGTGGTAGAGTGCTTGCCTCACATGCATGAGGCCCTGGGTTCGATTCCTCAGCACCACATAAGTAGAAAAAACTGGAAGTGGCACTGTGGCTCAAGTGGTAGAACGCTAGCCTTGAGCTGAAGAGCTGAGGGACAGCACCCAGGCCCAGAGTTCAGGCCCCACCACCACCAACAACAACAACAACAACAAAGAAACAAGATCCTGCTGAGTGCTGGTGGCTCAAGTTTGTAATCCTAGCTACTCAGGAGACTGAGATCTGAGGATTGCGGCTCAAAGCCAGCCTGGGCAAAAACTGGATGTAGCACTATGGCTCAAGTGGTAGAGTGCTCACCTTGAGCTGAAGAGCTTAGGGACAATGCTCAGGCCCAGAGTTCAAGCCCCATGACCAACAAAAACAAAAACAAAGATCCTTTCCTCCCTAATCATCAGAGAATTGGGGAACATTGTGACTACAAAAGCCTTGCCCCTGCCAAGATTTCTAGGGGATAAAAAAAAAAAAGAGGAATAGGAGGGACACAGCAAGAAAGAAGAGAAAGAGGAGAAAGGGGAAGAAGTATAGTAAAGAAGCCAATGATTCCATAGGATCTGGTAGCTAAAAGGCATTGAATAACTAGCAATTGACTGAATGAGTAATCTGCAATTAAATATTTAAAAAAAAAAAAAACATAAGTAGGAAGTGGCGCTCTAGCTCAAGTGATAGAGCGCTCCCTTGAGCTGAAGAGCTCAGCGCCCAGGCCCAGAGTTCAAGCCCCACTATCAACCAAAGGAAAAAAAAAAGTAAGTAAATTTCCCCTTTGACATTCTGTAACTTTAGTAGCAACAGTACGTGGTCTCCTTTGTTACTAGCAAAAATAAATAAATAAATACATACAGAGGTCAACAGGGGAGATAAGTCACTGAGTGAGAGGGCAGGAGGAGAAGACCTTTAAGTACTCAAAATCCTGAAATGCCCAGTCCAACATGACTTCTTCACTGCCCCGCTTTTCCCAATGGAAGGCTGAGGGAAGCATTTGTTAAAGCCTCAAAGGAGTCATCTCCCACACTAGTAATTAGTCTCACCTTTACGAGAACTTCCTGAAGGAAGGAAAAATTGTTTCTTCAGAAATGTAAAAAACTGGGGCTGGGAAGGTGGCTCAGTGGTAGAGCGCTTGCCTTGCATGCATGAGGTTCGATTCCTCAGCACCACATAAGCAAAAAGAAAAAAAGCTGGAAGTGGCGCTGTGGCCCAGAATTCAAGCCCCCGACCGGACCAAAAAAAAAAAAAAAAGAAATGTAAAAAACTGAGAAAACAAAGAAATGATCCCTGAGAGATGGCTGGTCCTATTTACAAACCAGTACACCTCCCCTCATTGCCTTTAAAATTATTACACAATGCTCTTCAGATTCAGCTTCTGAATCTGCTGATTGCAGGTCATCTGAGATGAGAACCAGAAACTTAAATGGGCTGAAATGCTAGCTTAAGATCATGCAAGGGGGAGGGGGGGCGCCCACAGGAGGGGGTAGATGGGAAGGGATGGGAAGGGGAAACAAAGGAGGAGGCAACAATGCTTGATAAGAAATGTACTCATTATCTTGCCCATGAATTGTAACCCCTCTGTACGGTATTTTCACAATAAAAAAATTAAAAAGAAAAAGAAAAAAAAAGATCATGAAAATGCTTAGGGGAGAATCATGACACTGTAACTTCTCTGAACATTTAAAATACAATTTGTCAAAACAAACTCCAGAAAATGGAAACATGGGGTTTTTTGTTGTTGTTGGGGACAGTGTTTGTTTTTGCTTTTTTTTCTTTTAGTGAGGGGCAAAAGAGAAGGCACAAAAAGGGAAGGAGGAAGGATGAACAAATGCAATCATGCTATTCACTATGTAGAAAATGACCTTTGTAACTTGTGGGCAGGAATAGGAGGTAGAAACTGGGAGAAAGCAAAGGAGGAGGTGGCAATGTCAAAGGAAAGAAATACTCATTATCTGACTTATGAGATTGAAAGCCACTATACAACACCTTATTAATAACAATAAAATTATATTTTAAAAGATCAGTCAGATGCTAGTAGCTCATGCCTATAATCCTAGCTACCCAGGAGGCTGAGATCTGAGGATCAAGGTAAGATCCTTATCTCCAATAAATTATCAAAAGCTCAAGGACAATGCCCAGGCCCAAAGTTCAAGGTCCAGGACTGGAAAACAAAAAACAAAAAAAAAAATGCAAATAAGACTGGGCTTGGTGACTTACAACTATAATCCCAGCTACTCAGGAGGTGGAGGTAGGATAATAGCATAAAGCACAAGGCTACCTAGAGCAAAAGTGCAAGACCCTCTCTGGACAGCAGACAATTATACCACACTCATCTTCCTATCTCATGAACCTGATCCAGTGGCCACCTGTAAACTTTCACTCAGAGCATATTTGCCGAATAGAATCAATGATAGAACTGGGCTTTCAACTAAGACTGAGGTGAGATCTCAGCTTGGTTTTCCCCCAATGTTTCTTTCCATGCTTTTCATTTATTCTGCCTGATGAAGCTGAGAAGCAATCTCTCCTCTTCTCTCTTATCTAACTGGACTTTATTTATGGAGGAATCTTCCCATCTCATGGACCACCCCCCCCCCCATTTTCCCCAGCAGAAATCATGCTGCCATTGAATGAACTGGGAAAAATTCAAGGTGGTCCCAGGCATTTTAACCAAAAGGAACAATTCTTTCTCTCTTAAATCTCTGGAGAGCTAAAAAAAAAAAAAATCCCAAGGCCTATCTATATCCATCAGTGCTAGTGGATCTGAATTTTTCCTGTATCCATCCTCATATAGAGAGCAAAACCTGGCCACACCAGCCAGGAATAAGCAGCCACCCTCATTCAGCCTAGAACTTAATTGTATAATGTCTTACCCTCTGGTATGGAATCAGACCCACGCCTGTAGTCTGGATGGATGTGAAGAAAGATGAGCCAGCCTCAACAGCCTGCTACTCATGCAAAAGGGCAGGCCCCACCTCACAACTGTCCTTTGCCATTGGCTATCCAGTAAGGACCAGAGGCCAATGGGTGGGCACCTACCCCTGGCAGCTGTCTCAAGTCTCCACCCAAGGGAGAATGGGGTTTGGAAAGCCAAGTGGAGCTTCAGTCAATCTCTTATGTTGCCAGGCCTTGGGCCTAATTTTTGCCTTGTCCCACAGCAACAGAAGATGGAGTAAAGGTAAAGACTTAAAGAAAACAAGATATTTCTGTGTCTGAGGAGACACTTCCTCATTAAAATGAATTGCTCACTGGTCCCAGAGAACTTCTTCTCCCACAGATTCTTCCTTAGCAAGTCAGGCACACTAATTCTACCATCACAGTCTTGCTCACTGGGCATATTTAAATATGAGACCATGTTGTTCAGCCATCAAGCATTTCAAGAGGGAGAACTACCAAAAAGCTACACTAGTGTGTGAGAGCAGATGCCTCTTCCACTCTTTGGACTGGACATCAGATTGAGGAATGACCTTGTGTATTAATTTTGAAAGCTGTGATGGAATGGAGCTCCTAGAAGATGGTGGTGTGGGGCCTGACCAGTTTTTTTTTTTTTTTTGGTCGGTCATGGGGCCTGAAGTCTGGGCCTGGGCGCTGTCCCTCAGCTCTTCAGCTCAAGGCTAGAACTCTACCACTTGAGCCACAGCGCCACTTGCGACTTTTTTTTTCTGCATATATGGTGCTGAGGAATCGAACCCAGGGCCTCATGCATGCAAGGCAAGCGCTCTACCACTGAGCCACCTTCCCAGCCCCGGCCTGACCAGTTTGAAGCCTGTAGAGGTCCTAAATTCTAAAGCTTCTGAACCCTATGTATTTCAAGTCCAACATAATAGAAAGATCTGCATAATAACTGATATTGGAATGACATATCTAAGTATTTTCTGGTTTCACATTTCAGGACAAAAATTTTTTGTTGTTGTTTGGTTTTGGAGGGCAAGTACTGAGGATTGAACTCAGAGCCTTGCACTGTTTTGGTGTTGTTTTTGTTGCTGTTTTCTCAAGACTGGTACTTGAGTCACACTTCCACTTCCAGCTTTTTTGGAGATAAGCATCACAGATTTGTCTGCCTGTGCTGGCTTCGAACCATATCCGCAGATTTCAGACTCCTGAGTCGCTAAAATTCCAGTCACGGTGCTTGGCAAGGATAAAGTTTTTCAAATTAGTGTTATGTGTGTGGATGGGCCCTCACTGTTGCCAACACCTTAAGCATATGCTCCAGCTCTAGGCTGGGAGCAGGCCAGGTGTTGCCACCCACTAAGGTATTCTTAGAAAGCTTAGGCTAGACGTGACAGTGTTCAACACCTTGGGCTGTCTTGGCAATATATGTTTTATTTTTGAAAGATTACAGCAGTCCCTGCAAGCCACAGCTTCTGATTAATTAAACTATGACCCTAGTAAGTGTTCTGGATTGGATGCTAGCAACACTTCAACTTAGAAACAACATTTCGAAGGAGAACTTTCTCAGGCAGAAACTGCTCAAGTGCCTGCTCCCCCCAACATACCCTCCACTGGCCACAGAGAGCCTGAGTCCACCAGCAAATCCAGTAAAGGGAAGTAAAAGTCTGATCAAAAGTGGGAGGTGGGGAAGGAAGGGATAGAAGGGGAAATACAAAGGAGGAGGTAACAATGCTCGATAAGAAATGTACTCGTTACCTTACTCATGTAACTGTAACCCCTCTTTACAGTATCTTTACAATTTAAAAAATACTTTGAAAAAAAAGTCATGGCCTCCTGCTAATATGCAAGAATTTCTGAGGTCCTTTCCAATAGCTACTGGCTTAGGAGGGGACCTGTTTATAAAATAAGGTTCTGTATAGTTTAGCAGGCAGATTGTATCAAGGAGAAAACAAAGAGGAACTACAGCAAATCTCAATCACATCACTATTTTATTTTTAGTATAGCATTTTTTTGTTTATTTTTGGTTTGCATTACTGTCCCCTTTTCTTTATTAGAATGTGAACTTTATGGTAGCAGGGTTTTGCCTTTTAAAATTGTATCTCTTACTCTCTAAAATAGGACACAGTATACAACAAGTCTAACATTAATGTTAATTCAATGAATGAATGAATATGTTGAATCTTCCTTTGGTGATAGCTATGGTTCTCTTTACAAATAAGGAATTCAGACCCGGGCGCCGGTGGCTCACGCCTGCAATCCTAGCTACTTAGGAGGCTGAGATTTGAGGATCGCCATTCAAAGCCAGCCTGGGCAGGAAACTCTGTGAGACTCTTATCCTCAATAAACCACTAGGAAACCGGAAGTGGCACTACGACTCAAGTGGTAGAATGCTCGCCTTGAGCTGAAGAGTGCAAGGACAGCACCCAAGCCCAGAGTTCAAGCCCTACGAACAACAAAAAAACAAAAACAAAAACCAATTATCATGGGGCTGGGAAGGTGGCTCAGTCACAGAGTGCTTGCCTTGCATGCATGAGGCCCTGGGTTTGATTCCTCAGTACCACATAAGCAGAAAAAGCTGGAAGTGGCCCTGTGGCTCAAGTGGTAGAGCGCTAGCCTTGAGCTGAAGAGCTGAGGGACAGTGCTCAGGCCCAGAGTTCAGGCCCCACGACCACCAAAAAAAAAAAAAAAAGGAATTCAGAGGTCAGCTGGGTGCCAGTACCTCACCCTTGTATTTCTAGCTACTCAGGAGGTTGAGATCTCAGGATCAAGGTTCAAAGCCAGCCCAATGAAGCAGATGACTTGTTCAAGGTACATATCTACAATGCTGGCTTGGAACTGCCAAGCCTCTCTGACTGCAAAATCCTTATGCTTTCTCACATCTCATATCCATCACCCACTCCTGATGCACCAGGAGACCCCCACAATCCATGTACATCCTTCAGGATAGGGTTGGGCTCCTCTCTGCCTCGTAGTACTGTAGCTGGTTCCAGCAAACTTTAGCAATTGTGTGAGGTGGAACAACTTTAGCCCCAATATCATGCAAACACTTTGCTTGGTCTGGCTGAGAGCCAGTGACATTGTGAAACCCTGTCATTTTGCTAGACCTCGGGGAATTCTGCCATCTACCACAAAGGCTATCATGTGGAAAGAGCAATTCTGTGGCATGCTGGTTTAGAGATTGTAAGTGAAAAACTTTCAATCAGAAATGCCTTGAGGCTAGTGTTTTCCCCAGGACCAAGTGTTATTGTCTAGAATAAAAGAATCTCACAAACATGATCATTTCCTCTAGGGGTCCACACCAGGGTTTAAGCCCCTGCTGGTATGAGATGTGAAATTCAGAAACAATAGGCCAGATGATCCATTTTCCTTAAGTATGGTTCAATTTTGTCATAAGTTTTGCTTGATCACAATCTTCTAAAAAAATCACAACTGAAATCACTAAGGATAGTAACTATATTTTGGAAAAATAACACTGAAGAGCAGAGCAGGTGGCAGAGTGGGCCCACCATGCCACTTTCCATGCTATCCTCCAAATCTCAAGAAATGACAAGAAAGGAAGTAATGCCTTTGTGTTGGACTGGGGTGCAGCCCCACTGGAATAGTGCTTGCTTAATATGCATCAATGCCTCTGATCTATTTGTGGTACCACCTTAAAAACAAAAGCCTTTGTTACTTCCAAAGACGTGTCTGTAATTACACTTTATCCAAGCCAACTTCAAATTATAACTGAAATATTTGTTTGGCCTCTGCATGCTTTAGACTAACTGTAACCCTGGTCCCCTGGCTAAAAGACCATCACTAATTCTGGGCCACCTGGTTCAGATAGGCAACTCTACATTCATCCCATTGAAAGCCTGTGTTCTCGAATCACTCAGGAGACAAAAATTCTGTGCTAGTAAAAGAATGTGTTATAATAGTTTCAGAGACAAGAGAAACAAAAAAAGAGACAGAGTGTTGCTTGGGAGTTTAAGAAGTAGCTACTGGGGCTGGGGGCTGGTGGCTCACGCCTGTAATCCTAGCTACACAGGAGGCTGAGATCTGAGGATCGCAGTTCCAAGCCAGCCATGGCAGGAACTTCCATGAGCCTCTTATCTGTAATTAACCACCAGAAAATCAGAAGTGGGGCTGTGGCTCAAAGTGGTACACTGCTAGCCTGAAGCATCCAGGCTCCAATTCAAGCCCCATGATGGACCAAAAAAAAAAAAAAATGTTTTTTAAAGGATCACTGTTGTGATTGTAAAAGGCTCTATCATTCTCGTCACAAAAGAGTCTGGAATGGAGTTGGAATTAGAATTTTAGAGACATACAGGATTTTTTTTTTTTTTTTTTTTTGGTCCATCATGGGCCTTGAACTCAGGGCCTAGGTGTTGTCCTTGAGTTTTTCCACTCAAGGCACCTTACCACTTGGAGCCACAGCACCACTTCTGGTTTTCTGGTGGTTAATTAGAGTTAAGAATCTCATGGACTTTTCTGCCCAAGCTGGCTTTGAACCGCAATCCTCAGATCTCAGCCTTCTAAGTACCTACGATTACAGGCATGAGTCACAGGGGCCCAGCCTTATAGGAATGCAAGAGTCTTCATGAGTGCTCTGTGTGTGTGCGTGCGTGTGTGTGTGTGTGTGTGTGTGTGTGTGTACACATGCATGTGCACTCACGCCTGTGTGTATGCATGTGTGATTGTAAAATGCTCTGTCACTCTCTTCACAAAAGAATCTGGAACAGAGTTGGGATAAGAATATTGGAAAGCCAGGTGTCAGTGGCTCATGCCTGTAATCCTAGCTACTCAGGAGGCTGAGATCTGTGGATCAGAGTTCAAAGCCAGCCCGGGCAAGAAAGTCTGTGAGACTCTTATCTCCAATAAACCACCAGAAAACCGGAAGTGGCTCTAGGGCTCAAGTGGTAAAGTGCTCCCATTGAGATGAATAGCTCAGGGACAGCACCCAGGCCCAGAGTTTAAGCCCCACGACTGACCCAAAAAAAAAAAAAAAAAAAAGAGACTTACAGGATTTTTTTTTTCCTTTGGTCCATCACGGGGCTTA